ATTCTGTGTCCTGGAAGGAGGCAGTTGGGCTTCCCATCAATGTACACAGTTACCATTCAATAAAAAAAAAAAAAAGCAAAGAGGATGGCTCCCAGCATTAAAAAAAAAAAAAAAAAAAAAAAAAAAGAATACTGTTCTACATAGAACCTGTATTTTTAAGAAAGCAGATATCGAAACTTTCAAGGAAAAAAGATAAGTATTATTATTGGACAGTCTGGAAAGCCACACTGACTGAGGAAGTTTGTGGTACTGTCAGAAATACATTAAATAATACAGGATATCCGATCCAAATGGCCTTTGGTAAAGAGTCACAGGAAATCAGGCAAACAGATAATCATAGAACGGTCCTACAGGTAGGGTTCCTATGAGCTTATAATTTTTTTTTAATATAAAGCAAGAAGATTATACACGATTGGGTTCAAGAAGGTTAAAGTCCCAAATGATTGGAGACTATAGAAAATGCTACAGATTAAAACAAAAACAAAAACACAATCTTCTAAAGTTTTGTTTCCAACAAGGAAATACTAGACTGCCTAAGGCCCAGCCCAGGAGTGTTAACACTGCTTTATGACAGAGAAAGTGGTTCTTATCCTTTTCTCTGTAGATAATATTGACCAGCAAACTGAAAGAGACACGGTGAACTTTCATAAGACGCCTGAAAATGCAAAGGGCACCCACGTGTCTGTGTCTCCTGGCATTAAATCCTGCTAAGTTTGAGTTTAGAAGCACAGTGATGACTTTAGTTTTAAAATAGTTGATTATATTTTAATAAATATATATGCAAGTGCTGGTTGTCTCTGAAGGCTGCTCATGCTTCATAGCAATAAAATTATGCCATTGTCTGTTGAAGAATATTTATCCTATTTTTCCCTTTCTAGTGAAGTGGGGGCATCAGGAGAGAGAAGGAAGAGTTGTATAGCTCCGACTGAAGTTTAGGGTTAATCAGTCATTAAGATACAAGCTGAGTGGCTCAGCGCCTATGGCTCAAGCGGCTAAGGCGCCAGCCAC